GTCGTCACCCCGCTGCCCCCAGTGTGTGGAGATGTGCAGGAGACAGCCCTCCCGCAGCTGGCGGTGCCATCTGCCAGTCTCTCTCTGCAGAGGCAGCCAGCTCCCCGCAGCCACCTCCGTCCAGAGCCCATTTGTCCAGAGCCTCTGGCCTCACGCAAAGGCTGCTGGGTAAAGACACGGACAGTTGCCTTTCTATCAGAAACCCCCTTTCTGTCCACCCTCACTCTGACCCTGAGCTGGCTTCCCCCTGTCCTGTGCGAAAGCTTGCAGCCCTGCAGCCAGCCAGCTGATTCCGAGTCCTCGCTCATCACTCACTGGAGAACTGCCGCCTCCTCAGCTGCTCGCCCCGAGCTCCCCCTAAGGCGGCAGCCACCCCCTCCCAGCCCACTGCTTTCTCCACAGCTTCTCACACTGCTCACCTCGCACTCTTCACCTGGCATCGGGGCCGCAGTCCCAGTGTCAGCTGGCACAGAGAAGGGTGAAGAAGGGCGGGAGGGACCAGGATAACCAGTGGGGCCTTTCTTGGCACATTTTAACTCAAGATGGAAGGAGCTTCCTAATGTGTTCCAAAGGTAATGAGGCAGGAGAAGCTGCATTACCTAGCTCCTGGCACCAGCATGCCTCTTACGGTCGAACAGTCTTTATTAGGAAAGACACTTATTGGGAAAGCCACCTCTGTCCCTCACGCGGGTCAGTGTGTCCCCTGTGGCCAGGGCGTCTGGGGGAGGTGTGGTCTGGGAAGGCTTCCCTGAGGAGGTGGCATTGAGGGTACAATCTGGAGTAAAAAGAGGTGATAGCCAGACAAGGTGAGATGGAGTGGGGGGCGGGCACTATGAGGGAATGCCTGAGGCACATGGGGCCACCTCTGAAGAACAGAGTGAGAGAGACGTGGCTAGGCAATGGGAGGTCACCATCGGAGCCGGCCTTCTCCTCTCCTCCTCTCCCCTCCCCTCCCCTCCCCTCCCCTCCTCTCCTCTCTTCTCTTCTCTCTGCCCCCCTCATGTATACTGCTAACCTCACTACTGCCAACAGCCAGGCACATCTGCTTTACAGGAGTCCCCTCTACACCAAGCATTTTATATGTACGATCCCATGTCAGCCACAGTCCTATGAGGATAAGGTACGAGGATTTGTGTCCATTTTACAGATGAGGAAGCTGAGGCACGGGGAGGGGAGGGCCGCACAGCTGGTAAATGCAGAACCGGGATTCAAAACTCAGGGCCTGAAGATCTCTGGATGGAAAACGTCTTTTTCCAGCCCAGGCCTCCATTGGCTTTCCAGCTGACATGGTTTCATTTCCATGAGCCATTGGAAGGTCCAGCTGGTGTGGCTGAAGGCCCTCAGGTGACTGTGGAGCCCACGGAAGGGGTAGGAGGCCCAGAGAACTGTGGGAGCTAGCGGGGTGCAGAGCTGCCTGGGTGGAGAATTGGGGGGGAGGGTTGGCGGCTTGGCTGCTACAGTGAGCACAGGGGCTCTGGGATTGGAAATGAGCCCACCTGGGGCCACCCTGCCCAACCTCACTACATCTCACTCGAGGGGTTGCTAATGGACGGTCTGGAGGTCCCTCCTTTCCTGGTGAAAGCCCTCCCCACCCCAGCTTCTTTTTCTGGGTGGCAGAGAGAGAAGTGGCCAAGTCACAAACACAAGCACTGTGTTCACAGGAAGCAAACCGTCTCCTGGGCTTCTAGACTCTTCCTTTTCTCCTAGTGGTGCTGGGCGAGGGGACAGGAGGTGTTGGGGGTGGGAGGAGCAGGAATCCTTTATAAAAGTCAACATTTAAAATCTATTTTCTTGCCTTAGCCAGTTTAACTCATTGGATAGAGCACTGGCCGTGGACTGAAGGGCCCCGGGTTTGATTGCCTACATCAGTTGTAGGTTTGATCCCCAGCCCTGGTTGGGTCATGTGCAGGAGGCAACAAATCAATGTGTCTCTCTCACATCAATGTTTCTCTCTGTGTCTCTTCCCCTCCCTTCCACTCTCTCTAAAAATCAATGGAAAAATATCCTTGGGTGAGAATTAACAAAAAAATAAATAAATAAATAAATAAAATAAAATCTCTTTTCTTTCTTCTGAAATTTTCCATCCTCAGGCCAAGAGGAATTGCTTCCTTAATTATATTCAACTTCTGGCATCATATTGGCTGAGGTTTGGGCCACGCTGAACTCAGCAAAATGACAAGCACAGTGCGTACATCTGTGTACGCACGCGTGTGCGTTATGTATATGTATGCATGTATTAAATTTCTCTCCCCTCCCACTTTCATTTCTTCATTTGCAGGAAATAAAAGGACCACTGGGCTGGAGCTCAAATCCTTCCTAAGCAGAGGCAAATCTGGGTGTCACAGTTTCCAGAAAGGGAACACAATCTCCGTATGGGGTGTAATTACATCTTAGCTTTCTGCAGAAGAATAGTTTATGGCTTAAATGCTATTAATTGTAAGCCATTTTGTTCCACGGGAACTTGTTCATTGATAACTATCCAATTAGGGTTATTTTGCAATTAGTCTATTCACACTAAATTTATTGCAAAAGGGGAGGCTGTGGTGCAGCAAATTAAAGCATTGCCGGGGCTGGGTGTGCAATGGCTCTTAAATGCCAATCTTATTAACAGTCCCGGAGGCTGTGCCACCTTGGCTGATGCAGCAAAGGCCACAAGGAACCCCCAGAAAATTCACACTGAAAAACCACACTAGGGGTGACTCAGTATGACCAGGAGAAGCATGGGAACCCTTGGCCTCCGCTGGGGACATCCCCCGTTTCTCCCCATTAATGCCCTCTCTTCCTCTTGCAACTAACTGATGACAGAGAGATACAGTCTGCAGGCTGTAGGACATCCCTGAGATTTGGCAATCTGAGCTACAGAGGAAGCTTTAGCCTCCAGAAGAGGGAGAGGCTCTGGAAAAGGATGCACACTCTCAAACCTGAGTTCTAAGCCCAGCTCTGCCATCCACTAGCTGTGCTCCTCAGGTCAAGTCTTCAACCTCTCTAAGCCTCAGTTTCTTCATCAACAAAATGGGTTGATAACAGATCTACCCCATAGCCAGTGGTTCTCAACCTTCTGGCCCTTTAAATACAGTTCCTCATGTTGTGACCCAACCATAAAATTATTTTCGTTGCTACTTCATAACTGTAATGTTGCTACTGTTATGAATTGTAATGGTAAATATCTGATATGCAGGATGGTCTTAGGCGACCCCTGTGAAAGGGTCGTTCGACCGCCAAAGGGGTCGCAGGTTGAGAACCGCTGCCATAGGCAAATGCGAGGATTCATTGCAATATAAGGTGAGAACAGTGTCCGATATACTAGTACAGTAGTACCCCCTTATCCAAGACCCCCAGTGGATGCCTGAAACTGCAGAGTACTGAACCCTATATATGCTATGCTCTTTCCTATACGTACATACTTATGGTAAAGTTTAATTTATGAATTAGGCACAGTAAGAGATTAGCAACAACAATAAAATAGAACAATTATAACAACGTAATCAAGGTTACGTGAATGTGGTATTATTAAGTAAAATAAGAATAACTTGGACATAAGCGAAACCAGGACAGTAGCTCTGATAACCCAGATGGCCACTGAGTGACTAATATACAGTGAGGACGTGCTGCACGGAGCGGTGACTCACGTCCTGGGTGGGATGTATGGGGCCAGCGTGAGATTTCATCATGCTACTCAGAACGGCGCACAATTTAAAACTCACAAATTTCTGGAATTTTCCATTATTTCCAATATATTCAGACCTTGGTTGACTGCAGGTAACTGAAACCTCGGAAAGCGAAAACACGGAAAACTAAGAAAATACAGACGAACTTGAGTGAATGTTGGAGTTGTCCCCACTGCACCTCACCCAGGGGGACACCTGGAGAGCTGGCCATGTGTCCTTCTAGGCCTCTCTGTGCCCTTGGCACACGGGGCTGCTCACAACCTGATCCCAATCCTTCATTCTGGGACCAGCAGTAAATAGAGAGGCTCCCGTCTGAAAAGAGGAGGCCTGGATTCTAGCTCAAGTTCAGCCTCTGGTTCAGTGGGTGACTCTGGATAAGCCTCCTTCCCTCCATGGGCCTCGCATTCCCGTCTGTCCGGTGAATAAACGGCATTGAGCTTTCTCTAGCCTGCTGTTCCCTGGGAGCCATTCTCACCACGCATCTCCCTTCTGCATCAGGAGAGATGCAGGGGCACAGCAGCTGCTCAGAAGAGGGAGGCCGCTTGGCAAAGTCTTTCTTGCCTGGCCTCTAGGCCCACCACTGCCAGGGGGACCGAGAGCCCCCGCCTCCCCACCCCGCCGCCTGGATCAGCTCTGCGGCTGCTTTCCTGGCGCTCTGATTCTGTCCCAACACAGCGCCTCTGTTAGAGCTCTGACCTCTCACAGCAAGAGCTCTGGTTCATCACTGGTCACCAGCACACACACAGAGGAGTGTTCACCTCTGGGCAGGGGAGAGAGAGAGACGGAGTGGGAGGGAGGAATAGGAAATGAGGAAGAGAGAAAATAGGAAGAAAAAGAGGAAAATTTAGGAAGGAGGGAGGGAAGAAAGGGATTTTAGATGTAGGAAAATGGGAAGTTTGATTTTCAGAGCCTCCAAAGTCAATGAACCAATTAGAAACCTTTCGGATCATATTCAATTACAATAACATCCACGTCAATTTTAATCCCGATATTCTGCTGAGACAGAAAACCAACTCTAGCGGCATAGTCACCTTGCCTTCTGCAGCTGCCACATGAGCCTGACTTCACTGTATTTCCTCCTTTGCCATAAAGGCACCTGGTTAAAGCTATAACAAAAGGTAACTTGATTCCGAAATACTTTTCCGTGGGAAACTTCAGAATTCAGGGGGTAACAAAGAAGTCAGGTCTTGTGACCTGATTTGGGGATTGAAAACCAGGGTCTCAGCAGGTGTGAGAATGTGAGCAGAAGGGGGCTGGGAAAGAGGGAGAGTTGGAGAGGAGGTGCCTCTCCCGGCCTGGGGGTGGGTGGGGTGGGGTGGGGGCAGAGCTTACCTTCCAGGGGGCAGAAGCGAGTCACCTTCTCTGGCATCAGCAGCCCCAGCTTGTGGCGGCAGTAGGTCTCCCCGATCTCCTGGCGGCAGTGCTTGGACTTGGAGCGGGACAGGGCGGAGATGGCCTCCTTGCCCGAGATGTCGCACTTGGGGGGCTGGTCATACTTGATCTCCGGGGAGCTGCCCCCGCTTTTCCTCGCGTGGGGCTGTCGGGGGGCCTCCTTCCCACGGCTGCTGTTCCCTGCGGCTCTCTCGCCGGGCGGCAGCACCTCGTTGGCGCCTTTGCCCGGGAAGGAGTGCCCCTTCCCCTTCTCCTGCTCCAGCTTCCTTTTCAAAAGCTCCTTCTGCCTGCTCAGGGGCTTCTTCGCCAGCTCAGGCTGGTGCTTCTGCTTCTGAGTCCTCGGGGCGAAGTTGCTGTTGTCCACATTCTCAAAATCTTTGGGGACCGAGTTCTCATTGTTGCTGTCTGTCCGCACTTTCTCTCTGGGCCGGTGAGAGAAGTAGCCGTCCTGGAGGAGGTGGGAAAGAGACAGGGAAGAGAAACTTTACTGAACGATCACGCTACGCAGGCTGGCCCTTGGAGAGAGGGGCACAGAGGTGTGGGAGTCTGCACCCTGGTTTCAGTCCCTGCCTTTGCCAAGAGCTTACCTTCAGGCAAGACTTTTCTCTCTGGACCTCAGTTTCCCCAGCTGGAAACATGAGATGCTCCAACTAGAAAGGAAGGCTTCCGCAAGCCCTAAAGTGCTATGCCTGTGAGTCCCAAGGCTTCTTATGAACCATACTCCCTTTCAAGGAAGTTTCCTGGACTGTCTCTGCCACTGGATTAGGGGCACTTTGTTCTAGCTTCCTGTTTAAATTCCAGCAGAGAGTGCCTTGATGGTTTATTCAAGGGCTGGCAATGCCATAATAAAGTTACAAAGGGAGAGAATATCGGTAGGATATTATATACATGCCACTGCCTTTAGGATGTATTCATAGAGCTATGCCCATAAGAGAAATAAGACAGTGCCAGCGTCAGTTCTGAAGGAGAGCCGTCCCTGGGTGTTTTGGAGAACGAATGGTCCTTGCAATGAATCCCAGCGGAGACGCAGACCTGCGACACTCCTGTGTTTGAGCTTTGGCTCTCCATGTCTCTACCTGGGGCAGAACGGATGAAGTCGCCTGGGTTTCAAGAGAAGGGCCAGGAGTCATTCAGGAGACAATGCGCGGGGTGCATCTTTCCAGGAAGGCAGGCGCCCCATACTCAGCTCCTCCCCGGGTCATCTCTAAAGCATGTCCCTCCTGCGGACACCCACTGCCAAGGCCTTGACCTGAATGAGTACCCACGGTCCTAAAGCGAGCCCTCCGGGAGACCTCTGAAGCCACAGGGAACACTAATTGGTTCCATAAATCTACGCCGTTGCTGCAGAAATGCATTGAACGCGTTGCTGTAGAAACTCTGAGGGAAGGCTTCCCCCTGAGTTTTCCTAAATGCGCCTCCAAAGGGCTCCCGAGGACGGGAATGGTCGGGATGGACAGTGGAAGCAGCGCTGGAGCCCGGGAGGCTGAAACTCAGCGAGCCTCCTCCTCTGGCAGGTTGCAAAACTACTCAGCGGGCCAATTCCCACCTGCCACTTGTTTTTGTAAATAAACTTTTATTGAAACGTGAGGATGCCTGTTCATTTATGAATTATCTAGGGCTGCCACAACAGCAGGGGTGAGCAGTTGCAATAGAGACTGTCTGGCCTGCAAAGCCTAAAACACTTCTATCTGGCCCTTTAAGAAAGAGTGGCAGACCAGTGATGAACCCTGGCTGGTGTGGCTCAGGTGGTTGGGCATCGTTCAGTGCAGCGAGGGGTTGCCAGTTCCATTCCTGGTCCAGGCACATGCCCAGGGTTGTGGGCTTGATCCCCAGTGGGGGGCATGCAAGAGGCAGCTGATTGATGTTTCATTCTCATATTGATGTTTCTCTCTCTCTCTCTCCCTTCCTCTCTCTAAAAAGCAATTTAAAAATCTATTTAAAAAAAAGAAGAAATAAGTGCAGACTCCAGCTCTCCAGGAGTGTGAGTTTAGAAGGCCCCCTCCCCGGGGCTTGGTGTGGTTGGCTGTGCCCCCACGGCCCCGTTTGGCTCAGCAGTGCTCTGGAGAAGCAGCCACATTGTGGCTGCCCCTTTTGTTTTGCCCCATGTCCCCTAGCATCAAGCACTGATTTCTCCAATCGGAGAGGCTGTAAGAATGACAGCTGACCCCGAGATCCCGCATGGCCATTCTGTAAGATGAATATTGTGCCGAAACCGGTTTGGCTCAGTGGATAGAGCGTCAAGGGTCCCAGGTTCGATTCCGGTCAAGGGCATGTACCTGGGTTGCGGGCACATCCCCAGTAGGAGATGTGCAGGAGGCAGCTGATCGATGTTTCTCTCTCATCGATGTTTCTAACTCTCTATCCCTCTCCCTTCCTCTCTGTAAAAAAATCAATAAAATATATTTTTAAAAAAAGATGAACATTGCTATTTTCATTATACAGGTGAGGGAACTGAGCACCAGCTAACAAGTGATGTGCACAAGGTAACGCAGCAAACCACAGGCCTCGTGCCCTGGGCTACCCGTTCCATTGCCCTGTCCTCTTAACCGCTGCAGCCTGGCTTTGTACCACAAGATCTGGCTCCCTTCCCATCTACTCCCACCCAGAGAAGTGCATCTGGGATAAGCATGTCACCTGCAAACAGCCATCAGGAGGCAGGGAATCACAGAAAGGGAGAAGACAGTAAGTAGGGGCCACGAAGCACCGGGGGCTTGAGGTGCAGGAGCTGGGGGGCCACGGGGTAGGTAGAAGGAAATAAAGAGATGCCACGAAGGGAGAGCTGAGTCTGTATTGAGTCACGGAGCGGTTGCTGATCACACACAGGAGCCCATGTTGTATCTCTGTTGGTGACGGGGACCTTCCAGTTCTGACACCTGGTTCAGGTCTTTTTAATTCCCCACCCAGACTTGCAAGAAACCCCCCTCAGTGAGGCTCCATGTCTGTTCTTGAACCCCACTCACTGACAGTCCTCTTTTCTCTTCTTTCTGCCCAGAGGCCCTTGAGGAACCCTAAGCAGCCCCTCAGATGCACTCCCTGAGCACTGACAGGAGCCGGCACCACAAACGAAGTGAGTCACAGGTATGACCTACTGGATAGCAACGATCACCCCGTGAGGAGGCGCGCTCCTCGCCATTTAACAGAAAGAGGAGCCGAGGTGTTCTTACAACATTCTTGAGCACATAGCAGGCACCAGGCACCATGCCAAGTCCTTATATGTGATATCTCATTTGACCTTCAGAAATAACTTCCAGGAAGGTAATAGTACTCCCATCTTACAGGGAAGGGAAAACGCTTGGGGATGTTCAGTAACTTTCTCAAAGTCATCTGGAGGAGGAAGGGAACTTGCACCCGTCTGACTCTCAAACATGCTATAATACAGTGTCTCTTCCGTTTGGCTGAGAGGTAAACAAGGAGCATTGAGCCCCCACTTCTCTATGGGGAGGTGGGAGGGGTATCTCACTGTTTGCTCATATAGCCTAGGTAGGGATGGAGTTGGAAGAAGGGGCAGGGATGGTATTCAATAAAGTGCTCGACAAATATTTCAGTCCTCTTCCTTCCAGGCACATGATAGGATTATACTTCCCATCCCCTGAAAGTTAGGCACAGCACAGCCAAGCAACTTGCTGTGGCCAAGACAAGTGACAGAAGCCAGGGCACGATTTGCCACATCCCCTTTCCCCCATAGCATCCAGCCACACTCCTGATAGTGAAATTCCTGTATCCCTGAGTGAGGCCAGTGTGGAGAAGAGACTCTCCCTCGCCCCCAGGGGCAGAAATAAATCTGTCAATTTCTGTCACTGAGATTTGGGGATCTTTGTTACTGCAGCACGATCTAGCTCATCCTGATTAATACAGGAGCCAACCTGATCTGCTTTCTTCCTTCCAGCTGTCCTCTGGTACAAAAGCCTTTTTCTCTGTCTCTAGCAGACAGAAAATCAGTTCAATGATGCCTGCTGTCCAAGAATATGAATTTAAATTCTGTCCCCGAGCCCATTTTGGTTTTTTCCCCAAAGTTAATGAGAGGGCAGAGAGTACGCAGAAGAGCCCCTGTCCTTATAGCCATCTGCACCCTCTCTCATCAGACACATCCTGAGTATTATTCTTGGGCTGTTCCCTTTCCTCATTAACTGAGGATTGCAATTTGGCCCCCTGAGCAGAAAACCTCTATAAACCACTGATTTCAAAAGCTCACGTGTGTGAGCACTTCCTGGCAGAACCTCAGCTAAACCAGGCACAGGAAACACTGCCATGGATGAAGCTCATCTGACCATCTGAGAACAGCCGATGCCTCTGGCTAATTTCTGATACCAGGACCAGGCGTGGCCATCAGCTCTAACACGACTCCTGACGTATACACGTCGTCTGCTCAGAGAGGCCCCACGATGGGGGCGATGGGCTCCGTGCGGCCCCGTGGCCTTCCGCTGGCCCCAGGCGCCACTCAGCTGCCGCAGGAAGTCTGCAGGTCCCAGTGTGCGGGAAGGGAAATATTTAGTCTTCTGGAATGGAGAGCTCACAGACATCGGACAGCTTCCAGAAAAGTCGGAGAGAGGCACAGTCAGGGAGCATCAGGCACCATCCGGAGGCCTGACACCTCCTGTCACCCCGAGTCGGTACTGTTTTCTCTAGCAGCCGATTTCTCCTGCCCCTTCCCCCTCTTCCTGTTTTAAATTTCACTGTGCGAAGAACACTTAACACATTTACCTCCGACACATGTCTAAGAGCACAGGACGATATACTGCTACCTGTAGGCACGACGCGGCACAGAAGACCTCTGGAATGTGCCCATCTTGTATAACTAAGGATTTGTGATCAGCATCTCCCCACTTCGCTCCTTGCCAGCCCCCAGAAACCACCATTCTACTTTCTGCTTAGGTGAATTTGACTATTTCGGATTCCTCACTTAAGTGGGACTGTGCAGTATGTGTCCTGCTAGGACTGGCTTAGGTCACTCAGCACAAGGTTCCTTCATGTTCTCATAAAGGGCTGGACTTCCTTTTCTTAAAGGTTGCATAAGATCTCATTGTAGGGATATACCACCCTTTCTTTATCCATCCACCCCTCTGTGAACATGAGATATCACACCTCACCTTCCCCCTAACTCTTCACCTGCCCAGGAGAGGGTTCAGCTCTCCTCTCCTTTCTCTGGAGACCAGAGATCTCAAAATCCAAACCCAGGTTCCTCTCCTATAAAACCAACCCTGAGAGCTTTCTAGGCAAATATGTGCAGGTTAATCATTGCACCCCCAGCATCCATGGACCTCATACCCTGGCCCTTCACACACCCTGTGTCCCCCATCCTCTCCAAAAGGACTAAGCAGGCAGCATTCGTCCTAATTAAGGGGAGAAAAAGAAGGCACAGTGGGGTTGGGATTAGACAACTGGACCAAGGCCACACTGCTGGGAATGAAGTGACTCCAGCTCATGCCTCAGTTTCTTCATGTGGAAAAC